TTTCTCCGATCCGGCTGGCCCTACCTAAAGTCGGTTTTAAGTTCCAGCTAATTTCACGCAGACCCCCCCCCCCGAGCTCCAATCCACGGAGACCAACCGGATTTAATTTCCGCTGGATGGCGCACGGTCCACGATCTTTTCTAAAGTTTCCCTTGACTTGATTCGCCTTCCCATCCGCTCCTCCAACCCAGATAATTGACTCCAAGCCGGTCGCTACGGTTTTCAGCTGCATCTTTTTTTTTTTTTTGCTTTTAACTCTCTGCAGCTGCTCTACAGCGGATGCTCTCAAGTTCACTCACCTCCGCATCTGGGGCGCGCACTCTTCGCCTTCCGGCCAAAACCGCAGCGGTTGCTTTCACCTCGGGTTTATCATGCTTACCGATCCCACGGTTTAAAATGGTGCCTCGGCATTCTTCCTTTTCCTGGTTCACAAGATCCCGAACAATGACATCATCCCACCAAGAGACGCCCCTCCCGCACTTAAAGGAACAAGAGTTGCATGAAACTTCGGAAAGCTTTTTGCGCAGGGTTTGCTCGGCCCTGGAAGAAGATTTAGCCAAATCTTCCAATGGCTAGTAGGTCTCTGAAGAAGCAAGGTGGAAGGAGTATTGATGCCTTTGAACTTCGGGAAGACTCCTGAGAATACCGTGGAGGGTCAAGAAAACAATCGGATGAAACATTGATCAAATCAACCCAGAATTCTCACTGGGGCCAATTTTTATTTCTTATTTTCAAATGTTCTTCTTTATTTTATTTTCTTATTTCTATTCCCTTGATTTTTATTTCTATTCTTTGAATTTTTCCCAAGGACCTTGAAACGTTGATCTCCCAATCATTTTATTCTCAAAATAAACCACTGAAGATGTCTAAACTTTTTCTAATACAGAAAGGTTTCTACAATAGAAAAGGATTGTAGAAAGAAGAAAAATAGTGAAGTTTATTAGTCAGAATAAGATGGATGCGTTCTTGAAGGGTGAGTAACACCAGGTGTCACCCTCATGTTGGAGGATACATCTATTGTTACTGTTAGTCCAAGGAACTTTCTATTGAAAGACAGGCATCAATTTACCCTTCATCTCAGCTGCAAAATATATTGGGTTCTCCATCCATTAAAATGTGAAATAATGCTTACTTGAGATGTCTAAAGACTTTAATGCATTGCAGTACTACAATTCATCAATAGGTGGGGTGAGTCTTCTTTAGGCCAGGGTCTCCAACCTTGGCAACTTTAAGACTTGTGGACTTCAAGTCCCAGAGTTCTGGGAGTTGAAGACCACAAGTCTTAAAGTTGCCAAGGTTGGAGACTTCTGCTTTAGGCCATGTATGCTTAATTATGAAGCAAATAAGTTTCATGGGTTTTCCTATCTAGTCAGCATGCTATAGTGGCACAGCTATTCATAAATCTTTGCATACTAATTATTTTATAAGCCATTTTAATTTCATAAATACATTTCAGAAACAAAGATTGTGGTGAGAATACAAGCAAACTCTCAAAAATAATATTCACACATACTACAGTATGTTCAAGGAGAAATAAAATATAACGAAACTTAACTTTTACAGTCTATTAAATGGCTATGGCAGTAATCTTTGCAACTGCAGATTGGAACATCAATCCTGTTTTTGTTTTGTGGCTCATAAATTCATAAAAACTTAAAGAGTTCTTCATATTTCACAGTAGCTTCCTTGTCTGCTCTAGTCTGACCTCTGAAGGTGTCAGCAAACATTGAAATTAAAACTGCTTGTTGGAGTCAGAGCAGTCGCCAGCAGAAATTTTATGAGTAACTATAACCCAAACAAATTCCAACTAGGAAATTGGATAACAGAGAGATAATTCAGATGTTAACACTTAATGATTATAATTTCCTTCTGCTGGGATGGGCAGATGTTTGAAAATACATGCAGATAGGCCAGGAGACTCTTGGATGCATTCCAGTGGTGGGTTTCAAAACTTTTTACTACCAGTTCTCTGGGTGTGGCTTGGTGGGCGTGGCAGGGGAAGAATACTGTAAAATCTCCATTCCCACCCCACTCCAGGGGAAGGATACTGTAAAATCTCCATTCCTTCCCCACTCCAGGGGAAAGTTACTGCAAAATCCCCATTTCCTCCCAATCAGCTGGGACTTGGGAGACAGAGAATAGATGGGGGCTGGGCCAGTCAGAATTTTTACTACTGGTTCTCCGAACTATTCAAAATTTCCGCTACTGGTTCACAGAACTAGTCAGAACCTGCTGAAACCCACCTCTGATGCATTCCCTGCTGGAAACACTGTCAATTCCAATTTTAAAAGATTTAGTTTTTAATGTAAATCTAAATTCATCTAGAATGTACAATGGGGATGTATTCTTGTAATTTAGATGTAGATTTAACATCTCATATAATCAGAAATAAATATTGGAGATGTAACTACACACAGATTTCTTGCATAACTTTTGGAAGTAAGATAAAGGCAACACTTTGAATATGTGTCTTATTGCAGTGATGGCGAACCTTTTCGGCACAGAGTGCTGAAAAGGGAGCGCATGCATGCACTTTCGTCAGGGCCGCAACCAGGAAGAGGAGCTGCCCAGGGAGCATGCGTGCACCGGATAAGGTACTTTCAGTTTCCAGTTACTGCCACGCATGCACACACGCCGATCAGCTGGCAGGCATGCATGCTCATGCCAGAAAATGGAAGACCAGCTCTTCCGGTTTCCGGCACTGCCACATGCACAAAGGCCAGCTGATTGCCACGTGCGCATGCACACCAGAAACCCAGCAGAGGATGGGCAACATCGTGCATGCCAGGCAACATGGGTCCATGTGCCACTTCGGGCACACATACCATAGGTTCGCCATCACGGTCTTATTGGATAAATTAAGATTATGTTACAGGATATATTATTTCACAGGATGATTTGAAATGTGTATTGCTTTGATGTTTACATAACATTGTGGATTAAATGGAAAATATTTTTTTAAAAAAATAAATATTGCAAAAGAGGAAAGGAAGAGGAGGGAATCTATAATGTCTCTCTGTATATCAGGGGTGTCAAACTCGCAGTCGATGGGCCAGATGCGTCATGCGCTGGCCACCCCCATTTTAGCGAAGGGGGAAAAATTTCCAATACATGACGACAATGTGTCATTGTGAGTTTAACACCCCTGTTTAACACCCGTTATATAGGATCTGCTTGGTTTTAAAATACCTTGCATATCACAAAAAATAAATTCCTTCCTTGTGAAAGTAAACAAACAGACAGTTCACTGAAAGAGCTTGTAATGGAATGAATTAAGCATTTTAAAATATCTGTTTATATGACTTCTCTGAGATGAAATTAGACAACTAGAAGTGATTGTTCATAAGGTATGGCAACATATATATTGTGCTAAGAGACCAAACTCTGTAGACAGTTATTGTGATCCAAAGAGCTCTTTTGTTTATAATTACTATACAAGGAGGGAAATATTTCTATTCTCAGTGAGAGAGTAAAACTCTGAATTCACAGATCTTCATTTTAATAAATTCCACTGTATCCTAAAAGAATCCAAATTTTAGGGTTGCGCATCTTCTGAGAATAGTCTTTTAATGACTGAAATGCGTATCTTAAATAGTTACAACAAAGTAGTGTAGAAAAGTAACAGTAACGTTCTTAATAAAAACAAAAATGGGATGAAAAACAAAATTTCTTCTAAAACTGTATATCAAAAAGATGTAACAAACATAACAGATTGATGATACCGGTACACACAAAAAATGCTTTGAACTCAAATCTATTACAAAAAAGGAATATGTTAACAAAATTAGAAGTTTTAAAATTCAGCGTACTACTATAGTAGTAATAGAAAGTAATATAGTAATAGAATTGGCTTAATTTTCAAGCATAGTCTAAAGAGCTACGACTATAAAAACATGTGTTGCTTGAGTTTAGTAGAATAGCCTAATAGCTCAATTCCCCGTAAGTATTCTTCCTGAAAGCAGCATTTTTACTCCAATCTTTAGTGACATTTTCCAGAGCATATTATATCTGAAAATGATGTTTCTACTGAAAACCCAGGTCTCTTTACACTTAAGATAGAAGCTTGTTAGGAAGTACATTTAAGAATGTAGGTTTTAAGACCGAATTATGAAGAATGAAGATGAAGATTTTGAACTCACATTTTCTTATAAGTTATATTCTAATACATGTGAGCAACTCTTCTACATTCCAGCATACAGTATTTTATTTGCATTTTATGGTTATTTGTAATGAGATCAAACAATGTCTGAGTTTAATATTGAGCTGGCTTTCTGCCCACATTGTTGTGTGCTATAGAAACTAAAGTGTGTTCACTATGCCAAATGACTCCAATTCATTTAAAGATTAATTTCTGATAATATTTCAATGGTATCCCTGAAATTATTAATACATGCTTCATAATATTTTATTATAATATTGTAGAGAAGATAAGTGCTTTGTAATACCCTGGAGTAGCCCTAGTTTTCAAACTGTCTCTGAAAACATGTTTGAACATATTTTCTAATTGCTAGAGGGAATGAGCAATTCCAATTAACATAATCACTCTTAAAATATTTTAATATATTATCTACACTTGAGATCTAACCACTTCAATTCAAAGGCAGATAGAGATTCTGCATACTCTAAAAAAAAGCACCTATCAAGGATTGGATCTTGATAATTCTGTGATTTAAGTACACACTGTTCAGAATACTATTTATCTTAAAATGTGATGCTTTATGCGGCACAAATACACTTAATTAGTATGCTGCTTATAATAGTTTCTCTAAAATTATTAAATGAGTTGAAACACAGGTTGTTGCAAACATTAAATGATCAGCTTTTGAATCAATCATCTCAGAAGAAGAAAGATTTGAATGATCCCTAACATGATAATTTTAAAAATGCAGTCTTAAATCAAGGGGGTATACTTCTCAGTCAGAGATTTTGAGACTGCAATTAAGATGACAATTAATTGTGTCACCCATTAAATAAGGATTTGAAATGAAGTTACAGATAGGTTTCAGAGTTGTGAGATTTTATTTTTTCTTAAATTTGAGCTTTAAGATCAATTTGGTGCAAAAGGAATTGTTGCCAATTACATGTTCTTTGACTGAAGCACAATGCCAACATCTGATGCTATATTTTTATAGTGTATGATTGAAAACATGGCTTATTTCTGTACTGTTCATATATATCTTTAGGTATAAAAGTTCTCCCTTCCAGATGAAGTCATATGAGACTATCCCAGTTCTGATTTGCAGTATCTTCTGCTGGTTTGTTCATGAACAAAGGTGATTATGCAGCTATCCTATAGAGCATGCTGATAATTTTCATTGTTTCTCTTATTGCTTCAAAAGTCTGAGTACTGTAGACTTCGACATCTGTGAAAGACATTGACTTGATTCATAATTAAAGGTCATCCTTATCACTACAAAGGTTAAATACAGTTTATGCTGTAAAAATAAGTAAGATATGTTGTCCTTTCTCTAGAAAAAAAAAAGATCTATGCATACCAGAAGCAAAGTCAATCAAACCCCATTCTTGGTTTTCCACACTGTCATTTTTCTCCTTTATATGTTTTTCTGATAGGTCCCATGGCCTCTTTTTGGCCATTCCTTCTCCACCCACTTCTGCAGTATTTTTTCAATATCAACTCTTTGATATAATTTACAGAGATCAATCAGCTGCTCCACAGTTCTGTCACTGTTCCGTAACAAAAATTCCAAGGTGGGACTCTGTTGTTTCTGTTCCAGAAAGCACAACTCATCATAAGTCATTCCCCATTTGCTTGCAAAGTTTCTCCAGTTTTTCACTGTCGGGTGGGATGGATCCAATTTGATCCTCATCGTATACAGCAAGTCTTCATCATTTAGTAGGTCACCGATGGTTGGCTGGTGAGATGTACACAAAGAGCAAGTGCCATTTTCTGCACATGACTTCTTCAAAGCTAGAATTACAATTATATTAGGGAGTTATTCCACTGTTTTCTGGTAAATAAAATTCTCTGACATGTTTCAGATGTAATGAGCCTCGTTCATGATGATTTAGACTGTATTCCAATTTGTTTCCCCATTTACCCTCCCTCCCTTCCACTTGTTGCATGTCCATTTGAAGCAAATCTTTCTTCTTTCTTAAACTACAGTTTCCCATTTGAAACGATATTCTGATTATAAAATTGGCTCATAATTTCTGCATTGAACCATTGGTTGCTATGTGCTCCTCCAACTAAAGAGGGCACTGATCTTTACTACACAAAGAGCAGAAAGGTATGTGAAACCACCTATATAGTAACATCATGATAATTTATTTTATATCTTTAATACTCTCCTCCCGGGTCAGATATTGAGAACACCATTATCAGTACACATAAGAGTGGCTTTCTAAGATTGCAAAGAGAAATATTTCTTGGACAAGATGTTTTGAAAACTGAAACTGTTAAGAGCCTCTGTTAAGAAGAGGCTGGACCCTGGATGATGTACCTGTAAACTATTTTGCCTAAGCCACCTAAATGAAAAAGCAGGAAGATTATTTTATAATGCAAGGCTGTGCAACTTTGGGGGAGGCCCAAGCTGTCCTTTATATTTGGCTTTTGGAGGGTTGTACCACTGAGAGCAATGGGTAAAGGTAAGGCTAGTAATCTATTTTACTAAGCGTTACTTTAAAACTTCAGTCAATCGAAGCAGTGATGAGCAGTAGAGATCAATTTTCATGGGCTCATCTGTTGCTGACCATGGTACAGGTAGTCCTTGACTTACAACGGTTCATTTAATGACCATTCGAAGTTACAACAGCACTAAAAATGATGACTTATGACTGTTTTTCACACTTATGACTGTTGCAGCATCCCCATGGTCATATGATCAAAATTCAGATGCTTGGTAACTGGATCATGTTTACGACGGTTGAAGTGTCCTGGGATCATGCAATCACCTTTTGAGACCTTCTGACAAGCAAAGTCAATGGGGAAACCGGATTCATTTAACAAATGTGTTATTAACTTAACAACTGCAGTGATTCACTTAACACACTGCGGTAAGAATGGTTGTAAAATGGGGCAAAACCCACTTAACAAATGTCTAATTTAATAACAGAAATCTTGGGCTCAACTGCGGTTGTAAGTCAAGGACTACCTGTATTGTAATTTGAAATACCAGTATAAGCGGAGTAAACAGTCATGAATATGACTTAACAGATACAATGAAAGAAAGAAAAAATATATGGTATGCCAGTGAAACTAAGAAAAATATGACAGATTTCAATGAAGATGATCTCAACTTGGAGAGTGGAATATGGAGGCTTATAAGGAGAAAGAATCTGTATATAAAAACAATGTTTTAAAAGTACAAACTAGTATGATATAGACTGGTGGGTCTGTCTGAAAGTAGGAAAAATGGTATCTAGGAGAAGATGTTACTGTATTCCATAAGATGATATGAATGAATGGAAGAAAAGAATTTAGAGAGTACTGTACAGGAAAAATTTGGAAAAATGAATTATAATAGAAGTATGAACAATGAGGCTTGTTGGATCAAAGATGGGAAAAAGCTGTGAAGAAAAAGAATCATGTAACAAAATGACTTATGCAAAAAATGAGTGTGAAAGGTATTGTATAATTGTACATAAAGAAAAAAGAAATAGCAAAGAATGTAGTTAAAGAGTGCAAGGAACAGTTATGATGTCAGAGAAAATGCAAGGTGATTTTGATGACAATAAGCAACAGAATTGAACTAAGAATAAAAACAATGAAATGACTTGGAATGAAAGTGAAGCGAGGAAATGCTGGAATAATTGCTTTAGAGATTTGCATTGTTATGTTGTAGAATAGGATTAAAATAAATGCTATAAATGTAAATTGAATATAAATTTAAAAATAATGAGGAGCCATCAATGCAATGAAAATGTTGAAAAACTGTAAGACTGTGGGTTTAGACAGTATAACTGGAGTTATGTTAAAGTACTGTGGTTAGATTATGGAGCAGTGTACAAATTGATAAATGTAAAACATCCTCAAAAGCAGACAAGTGAGAAGTTTAAAGAAGGAAAGATTATGTATAATGCTATACAGCATAGTATATAATTGTGACTGAAGACTCATTAAAGCAAAGATTGTAGCATGTAAAAATATGGTGAGGTATAGTGAATAGTGGTGATGTAAATACTTCCAGTTAGGTTTTTTTTATCTCTTTCAATCAGGGTGGATAAAAATGATTTTTTTAAAAAAATCAAAAAAATCATTTTTTTAAATTTAAATCGGATTTTTTTGATTTTTATCGAATTTATTTTAATAAAAAACTTTTGGGGTAAAAATCTATCGTAAGATAGTTTTCTATTTAAGATACATAAATAATTTAGTTTATTCAGCATGAAATGGAGCTTAGTTATGTAGCATGAGGCTGTATATTCTGCAACACTGGGATTATCGGTGAGTCAACAGTGGGTCAAAGGAGTAGCAGAGATGACAGTTGCTCTTTAAAAATTATGATTTAAATCGAATTGATTTAAATCAAGCCTTTTTACTAGTGATTTAAATCATGATTTAAATTGTGATTTAAATCAACTCGATTTAAATCAAATCCACCCTGCTTTCAATTCTTACCTTTAGTTGCTACTTTACATTCTTTTTTTGTATTTTGTGTAATGTTGCTTAACCAAAAGGGAATAGTGTAGTATATATATATGTAAAGTCATTTAATGAGAACTAAATTAAACAAATTACATTTACTTAATCTGATTACTTAAGTTTTTTTTTAAATGTCATCTTTTGCTCATTAAATTTTAAATCAGTTTCCCCTGAAATATTTTTAGTAAACTATAGTTGGATTTTATATTGCATCATTCACCTAAGTGTTTCACAGCACATTCTGGAGTAGTAGAGCATAAACTGTGCATGCAAATACAGTTTAATTTTAGACATTAAATGGTTTCATGACAACTTCAGGAACGGTTTCAGAGACCAAAGACCATATGGCATTTTGGGGCCCTATTTGGCCCCATGCACATGAACTATTCTTCTAAGTGTAATCAACTATCCTTCTAAGAAGCAAAGTAAGCTTCTGGGTATGCACGTGTAAATGAAATACAATAATACCAAACTTTGTTAATTTTGTAATTTTCCCAAGAACAAGTTCCTCCTCATATTGTCATCCCCTTATGTGGACAAATGAATCCAATCTCAATTTCGTGCATATAGACTTCACAAGACAACTTCCTCATTATCATGAAATCATCAAGCATGTTCTTAAAAGCATTTCGCTATATTATCAGAGCACAGAGATGTTGCAATAAAAAGATCCGTCTTGTCAACCAGTGTAATGAAAGATTATTTCTTTCTACAGTAATAATGACAAGTATCCTAGTTACAACAACAACAAAAAAAACAACAACCCTGAAATCAGGCAGTAAATATATTTTGGAAATGTGCAGAAAGTTACCTGTAGGTGAATCACCAGCACTACTTTGAGTGTCATCGTCTTCTTCTGGCTACAAACAAATATAGTCTTGCGTTAATGTCATTTAATTTAACGAATTACTCACCTTGAATTTAGAAAAAATGTGCCATTAATATTTCAAGGTTTGGAAAGGTCAAACCAATAAAAAAAAACCTAAATACTTTGAAGAAGGTATATTTCTATAGAGGAAGATTATCATAAAAGAGAGGCACTTAATTCCTGAGTTCAGGAGGATTTTATCGTGGTAAAATAGATTTGAAAAATCTGCAGCAGATGCTTTTGCTATTACAAAAAAACCAACAAGCTTAGATGAAGAGATCCCCCCCCCCACCGCTCTTATTGCAGCTTCAAAGATGAAAGCAGGTGGGGTTTTTCCCTTGAGATATTTTCAGTAAAGTACAGTTGGCTTTTGTATAGCGTCATTCACCTGAGAGTATCACAGAGCACTCTGGAATAGATCATAAACTGTGCATGCAAATACAGGTAAACTATGTAGTTATATAATATGCTGTAACCAGACACCTTTACTTACCTACACTTAACTGCATTAGTACATCCATTCCAAAGAAGCCACATAGATAATTTATGTGGCAAGGCCATGACAACCATGCATACAATGCCTAATCTGCCTTTTGAGCTTGATCACAATTTGGAGAGGAGGCAGGGAGAAACCTAACACCTTCAACTTAAAACCGTTTACATTCCATGTTTAATTGTACCAGGCGTATTGTTTCTGCAGTACCAGCTATGCCAAATATTGAATACCTTATGCCTAGTTTTCCGAAATATTATACATGGTATAGGATGGTTTTTCCTCTTTTTTCTTTGTGTTTCATATTTTCTTTTTATTTTCATCAGTACTGTTTAGGTGACTTCTTTTAGTTCCAGCAAAGCAGGATGCCAAATGAGTTAAAATGAGGGTCACATCAGTCTTTAAATGGCATGGGTTTTTTTTCCCCCACCAAAGATAAAATACAAAACAGAAAAAGAGAAAGGAAAAAAAAAAACAAATTAACAAACATCCAAAATTAAAACAGGGAAACAGGGAAAAAACATCTTGTGTACAAAAAAAAATATTTTGATTCTATTCTTAAACATTTAAAAAACCCATCCCGGCTGAATGCTAAAAGAAACATTAAAAAAATAATATGTTCTCCTCCCCTTACATATCGGGTCTACCTCAAAAGAGAGTGAGACAAGGACCCAAAATGAGCATGGGCACTGACAAAAGCTAAAATATAATGTGAAAAATACAATTAAAGCAAGGTAAAGTCCTTATTTACTTGAGACTTCAACAGATACAGATTATCTAGTTTTAAGTATAATATTGAATTAGAATTGTAGTGATGATTCAGTTGGGAAAATTAGCACAGGAAGGGGAAAGGAGAGAATAACTTAATGAGAGGGAGGTAAAAAGGGCATTGTGAGCCCCCATTTGGGAGCTGGCAAGGCTGCTGGAGAATCCATGAAATTGGCATTTGTCAATCTGAGAATCATTCATCTGGCAACATGATAGTGTGGAATATGGAAAAGCAGGGCCAGAATTAAAGAGGGAGTATTGGGAAAATAGAGAAGAGGCAATAACACAAGTTATAGAAGCAAGAATATAACACAGAGATAACACTGCAATATATTCATTTTATTTTCAGTGTTAAGACTTAAACAATATTATTTCATGCACACAAAAGAGAAAATATTAGATGATTTCAATAATCCTGATGTTTCCAGGAGGAAAAAAATCCTACACTGCAGCTTGTTCACTCTGCACAGATTGCAAAAGTAACTAAACAAAGCAATAATTATAAAAATAAAGCTTCTATTTGTCTTAGAATTATAATTTTTATCAGATGCATCCAAATTTTCTTAATTTTTATTCAGTTTGGTAATAAAAAACCATTTGACAAACAAAACCAAATTACTGTCTATTTTTTGGATAGTATACACCATCCAAGGTGCAATTGTATTGAAAGATTATTAACTATAAAGCATTACATTTAACAATTTTGTTAAAGAAATGCCTCTTCATAAATTGCAAGACCAGACAAAACTACAAATTTGTCTCACATGTGAGGGAAGGTAAGAAAATCCAGTCTTGCCTAAAGGCAGAATATGGATTCTGCACATCTATTTCATTACTTAAGGGAAAAGAAAGAAGAGGTTGCAGCCAGAATAAGAATTTGCAATGCTTGACTCAAAATACAGCCAAAAAGGTGTTAAATAAAATAACCAGGAATCAAAGTAGTGTGTGGTTGCCTTCTAGTCCTAAACTGTAATGTGGTGATTGCCTTTGGCTTGGGGCAAAATGTTGAACCCATACAATTGTGGTTTTAACAACAGACTGTTGTTTCAATTAGCCTGTGGCATATAAAGATGTATGAATGCGGTCAAAAAGTTGCCAATGCTGCAAAATTTTCATGCCTAGGTTTGCATTTCCTCAAGGACTTAGTATAACATGAATCTCCTACCTCTCTGGGTATTTATTTACTAAAATATCATCTACTCTTGTTGTCTATTCTTCCTGCTCTAGATAGTTTACAACATATGGACTAAATCATTAATACAATAAGAAAATCCACCATAAAACCAAGAAATAATAAACAAAACAATTAAGAACTATTTTTAAAAACCCTGTAGTTGCCATCATGTAAGTCTGAATTCATTCTTAAAGACTGTTTTCTTGTCTTCTATCGTTTGATAGGTGCACTCCTAACTTTGGGGCAAGCTATTTCAGAGGGAGGATTTAGTATGAGAAAATCTATCTTGAGCCCCCCCCCCCCTGATTTCTTTCAGGGTCGGTACCCAGGCATCCCTTCTTTATTTGATAGTATAGGTCAGACAGATTCTACACGAAGTAGATGGTTCTGAAGATAGCAAGGTGCCAAACTGTAGTATGCCTTTCCTTCACTGAAGGCAAAGAGTATCTAAAATTCAGGATTTTTTTCATGGTGTCTTCTGCTCTCTTTCCAGATTGCACCTGAGTTTGAAATAAAACTTTCAGCACTGACTTACAGTAAACTGGGGAACAATACTGAAAAGTCTAAATGTTGATAAATAACAATAAATAATATTGACAAATATTCTAATAGGATTAATAACATTTCAATTACCTGGTGTATCAAGCCAGAATCTGATGTTAGGCTTGTAATGTTAATGGATGAAATTTCCAAAGTCACTTTTTCTGTTTGGTATTCTTCATCTACAAGGCAAATATTCTTCAATGTTAGTCAGGTTTGGATCACTTGATCAAAATATTTCTAAAAAGGTTCTGTGATTCAGAAAGATTACAGTGCCAATTCAAGTAATGTATCTGGGCAAGAAAGAAAGCTGTAATACAGGCATACTGTTCCATTCATAAAATTTAGCATAACCAGTGACAACTTGCCTAAAATTCTACATACCAAAGATTGCAGAAGGAACTAACCTGTGGGCACATTATCAACCATTAGCTTCCAGAAAGGATGTATTGAATGAAAGCCCTGCATATACACAGAGTAAGTGAGGAACTGCTAGTCTCTATTATGCTAATCTTCTTTTCCCTGAAATACCATATATCCCTCTTCCAAACCATTTGATATGTCAACTTGCCTGCTAGTCACCAACCAATTACATTAAAATCATCATTTTACAACTGGCTCCCATATGCGTTGCAATAATTATTAATGATAACATTTATCTGAAATGTCATGTAACATTTCACTGGCTTCATTCCTGAATATCCAGTTATCATTAACAGGTACAAGAACAAAGCCAGATCTTTTAAATTGCCTGGGTATGTTCATATACAATAGTTACCCTCATCAAATCCAGAGCAATTTCAGGTCTAAGTATAGCAGAAAGAGAAGAGGAAGAAGAGAAAGAGGAAAAAGAAATTGCTGCCGAGACAAACTTTATAAAGATCAATCTTCCTCAAACTTGCCACAGTTGAAATTTACTCCAAAAATTCTAAAAATTGTCATGGTGTCTGAGCAATTTTGAGAGCTTTAAGTCCAAACATCTGGAAATGCCCAGATTAGGGAAAGCTAATGTTAAAACTGTATCTTCCAGAATACTCAGTCTGCACATCTACATGATACCACTGGAGAAGACAGAGCTAGATCTTCTTTTTCATAGTAATGATCTTAAGTCTACCTTCTAATACATGTATTACATTCCGGATAATTCAATAAATATTAGTTACAATTGTTACAAAAACAAAATGTTTAAAAACCTTAGTTAGAGAATACTGTTTTATCAGAATAAACATTCATATTTTTATTTGCCATTCCATATACAATGGAAATTCCTTCAAAATAATTATTTCTCTTTAAGTGATTTCTCTCTTGCTGTTGTTTGGTTGTTTATTGATTGATTTTGGATACCATCCATATTTTTAGAGTAAGTTGAGTTGAATTAGCAAGGACCAGATCTAAAACATGACTAAATTTTGTGCTGTATATCTGGACATAAAATAGTTCCACAATTGCATGAAGAGACTGATGATGTTCTTTCTGCCTTTATTGCTTCACACTGTATTGATTCCTACTTTGGTAGGATCTCCTAGCCTCCAATAGATACTTTCAGTATCAGAGTGAAATAAGAAAACAGATGATCCATATGCAATCTTTTGGCTCCCACCTCTTGGCTCCCAAACATTCTTCTGTGCTGGATGTCAGAGAAAGTATATATTGTTATTGCTTACCCATTGCTTTCTTATAAGTGTGCTTCAAATGTTCATGTACGCCTTTAAACATATAAGTGGCAAATATGGACAGATTCCAAACAGAATCCTCCAGAAGCGCAGATTACTACGGTACTTTGGGTAAGAAACATGCCATCAGTGTTACTATCTATTCCCTCAATTTCAGTAGCTGGTCATGTAAGATTAATGGAAACTCAGTACCTTAAGTAGATCCCTAAGGGTGGAAGAATTGTATGAATGTATAAATTATATTCACAACTTGCAAAAAATCACCAAAAGGCTCAACTGCTGAAATAAAGCAAAAGTCTAGGATACATGGCCCTTAAAGATGTGGGATATTTGCAGATAACTACAGGTACTGCCATACGCTTAGGATAGATTCATGAGGCAAAAAATAGTATTCAGTGGAGAATTCCAAGAACTACAAAGCATAAGAATTCACCTGATGGAGAAGTAAAAGAATATATATTTAATCCTCAAAGAAGTAGAGGTAAAACTTTCAACAAAATGACTTTATAAAATGTCTCAGCCTTGATAAACGACTTTAAGTTGTAGAGATCCAAGGCAGGTTAACCCCCTTTATCTTTCTTCTCAACCAAAAAATGTCAGGAACATTATAATTGCTCCTTTGAGTATGAATTCCTGAAATTCCAAGCACCACAGAGAAGATGAGGGATAAGTGAATTATTACCACTTGTAGCTGAGCGTTGAACTTAGTGGTATAATATATACAGTATGTCCTATGATCATAAACAGAAATTCATAGGACTGTAGTGTTTTCCTAAACTGACAAATGTATCACAAATAAAACATCATGAGCTTAGGAGAAGGAACAATATTTACAAAAATCGTCTGATTGTCATGTTGGCAACTTTTAGATTTTGGTCAGTATCATCTGTGCGGTCTAGTTATCTCTTATATAAAGTGTACAATATGAAGAGTCTTTGAGAAGAGCAAGTCCTGAATTAAGGATGATCCTTCTGAGCACAGACTGAAATTACATTAATCTTGCTGCTGCTGTTATCCATCTGTCCACTGATGAGGCCCACCCATCAAAGAGAGGGTTTTCAATACAATTCATAATGTTCTGAGAAATTCTTCATGAGAAAGACTAACAGACTTCAGCAAGCCAAGTACAAGAAAGAGAACCATTAACCGTCTTGCTGTTGGCTTGGTATTTCATAGTATTGACCTGCCGCTTGGAGAGACTATAACTTTCAGAAGAAAATAGTTCTGATGCCCTTTGTTTATCCTGTGGGAGATGACAGAACAGTAAGGCTATTGTCTTTTATAGGAAACAATGATGTTAGCTAGATAAGCCTAAAGGATGTAGAGACAAAAAGATAAGGCTGCGGTGGAATAAGTACTGTGGTTCTCCCTTGTAAACCACAAGTTTTTTTTCTTGACTTGAACTGAAATGGGTTTACAGTTAAATGCTTAAATAAAATATGTAGTTCCTTCCATCAGTTCTCTATATTGTACAACATCAATGGTACAGAAATTAATCAATGTCGTGTGCCTTTGCAGATTAAAAATAGAACTGGCAAGATAGATATGATAGTCAGCATCCAAAGTAATCTGGAACCAGGCTTTTTAAAAAATCTTTGTAAATAAATAAACCAGGAGCCTAAGCATCTGCAAGCATCAAATGGAATATTAGATCATCCATACCCTTTGAGTGAATAATCCCCATATCTAATGACATGGATAATTGCAATAAAATGAAATTTGTTTTCTAACATCAATGCAGTGTAGTAATTGCCTACATTCAGGTGCACTGTGATTAAGGTTACTTGTTCTGAGGGGGTGAAGATGAGATGGAATTTTGATACTGAACTTCAAACAAGCTTGGCTCACCACGTCCATGAGGGGGTATCAAAACTGGAAGATGTGCCCGGATTGAAAGCTATCATGCTTCAGCTGGCATGTCACAAGAAAGAAGTTTGATGGTCCAGGCTGCATGGCTTGATTATACATCGTATAAAACAAAGGTAGTGGTATTGTTTGTTAATGAAACTGCTAAATCTCCTATAGAGTAGGTGATGACTTTAATAGCATGAGGAGGCACTGGAAACAATTATCACAAATTATGTTGTACCATATGAAATAAGATAGACATTCTGACAGTGGAGTCAGAGAACATCTATCATCACCAGAGATTTTATGATTGGGAAAGTATACAAATATATTAAATTAATAAAAACATTAACTGTGGCACTGACTGACTCAATACAGAGAGTATGAGAACAGAAACTCCTACAGGTAAGAGAAGCAGAAGAAATCTGATCTTAGTTCTGAGAAGTAGCATGGGTGAATGAAATTGGGTCTTTCAGGGTAGGTAGTTGACTATCTCCCATATAGGATTATTTTACAAATAACTCAAGGCAGCTAACCAGTGGTGGGATTCAGCCGGTTCTTTCTGGATCGGGCGAACCAGTAGCAGCGAATGCAGGAGGCTATGCTCACCCGTTCGGACGTAATGTGTGAGCACTGCCCATGCGCAGAAGGCTGTGTGCATGCACAGATGAGGTGTGTGCAAGCAAAGCGAGCGCGCTCACATTTGCGAACCGGTAGGGAAGGTAAGTGAATTCCACCGCTGCAGCTAACATACCCAATACTCCTTCCTCCTGCTATTTTCTCCACAATAACCCTCTGAGGTGAGTTGGGCTGAGAGAGTGACTGGACCAAGGTCACCCAGCCATCTTTTATTCTAAAGCAGGACTAGAATTCACAATCTCCTAGTTTCTAGCCCACTGCTTTAACCATTAGACCAAACTGTATCTCTGGTGATGGAATTGAGCTACTAAGGTGAAAATGAACGACGGAGAGAAAACCGTAAGATATTTTCTTACTTGGTGGCTTCTTGACCTTAGAAGATTTTGAAGGTCTCAGAGTTAATAAAAGTTGGGAATTTCAGCAAATATATCTGGAGTCAGTTCTAGAAAATTATGAAGTCTATGAAGGGACATACAGTAACAGATTCACTATTGTGCCATATCTAATCAAGTTTCATATTACAATATTTTTTTAAAAAATAAGAACTGCAGTCATTGTCGTTTTCTATTTTTACCTTTGGGTAACGCTGTATCTTGGACAGGATACTTTTCTATCTGTTCAGACAAAAAGAAGACATATTTTTAAACAATTATTTTAGATACATTTTGAAACACCAATTATTTTGATTTATTAATTTCTTTGTTCTGCTGAATTTGTAACCTTCCAAGCCAAATACAGTCTCCCAGCTGTTCACGGAGCTTGCCAAGTATTCAACAATTCACATAAAGTATTTATCCAGTCCCAAGCAGGACTAAGGAATCAATGAAGATTTATCAAGCCCTTATCTGAAATTTTAGTAGAAATTATTAAAAACGTGGGATGGGTCTGCCAGTAAAGATGGCAATATCTCACCAAATCTTCCTTCCATAATTTGATTCAGAATCCTTCCACTAAATGGTTTCCAATACTTTCATCCCTATAAGATTTTGAAGGAAATACTTTTAAAGGAAATGATGCTTGAGGACAAACTTCATTCAGGATTCATCACACTGGTACAAATAATAAAACCACTACAGGGGTTCTCAAAGAACTCTTGGATAATGACTCCAACTTCATCTCTCACCACCAGAGTTTTCTGGGTACAACTTTTTTATCCACACAAACCAATGGAAAGGGAATCTTCAATTGCCCATCTCTGAATCAACAGAACAATCTAAATATGAATCACTGATTAGTTATGGTCATTTTCCTTCTTGATTACAGAGATTAACACATACTACCTGTTTAGTTTCTAGTTGTTACTATTTCAAGTAGTTTCATCAAAAATAGCTGATTGTTGCATAAAAGAAGAGTGCACTACAGTAGCATCACTCATTCTTTATAGAGACATGTAACTGGATGGAACAGGTATTAACTTCCCATTACAACTTTCTTATTATTAAAAAACAGTCAGAATTCTATAGCTTTTAGAAATCTGAAACTCAGAAGTAACAACTAAATATTCTCTTCCACAGCACTCTATGCCGTAGAGAAATGCTATTTGTATGGCAAGCTAATTAACTATTTGGGAAGATCACAAAGGAAATGATTGGGTGGTCATGTCCCTAGACTTATTTCAGAGCCTGTATATTGTCACATCTTAATTACTGAACTTTTCTGAGTATGAAATACTATGTACAATAATAGCAACCAACAAGTAAAATAAGTAAATTAATGACCTAGTTAGCGGAAGTAATGTTTCCTTTGAATCAGTCTCAACTTCTGATAGCTTCATGGATATATATCCATGCAGTTTTACTTGCATCATAAAAATGTTGCCAATACCTTCTAGTAGGATATTTGTTCAACTTCCCATTGTAGTCCACAACCCTTGCATTTTCTAGTAACCCTTATCCAAATGTTAACCAGCTCTCACTCTGCTTATCTTTTCAAACGTAGTCAAGGTCAGTTAGGTAGAATCACTTAGCTGGGCAACTAGCCACTTCAACACATTCACAAAACTACAGTACTTACATTTTCCGAGGATAAAGTGCTAGGGTCAGTGTCTTCTACTGGTTCTTTAGTGGCTTGATCTGCTGGAAACAAGCCAAAAAGGGGCTTAAGCTTACAGTCACCAACATTTTAGAGACATTTATTTACTTTACTTTACTTTACTTTACTTTTATTGAATTTGTATACCGCCCTACTCCCGAAGGACTCAGGGCGGTGAACAGCCATAGAATAAAACATATAACATACATATTTATTTGTACTTTAATTGCTTAATAATTACATATTCAGTCAGTTTGCTGCAAACCCCACAACAGGGGTTCACATGCTGGTTTATCCCAATTGGGTAAACAATTCTGAAGAAAATGGCTTGCTCTTATATGTTCTTGCATACATGATTATGTGTCAGTTCAAATATAACAACCTTGCTCAATAAACAATAGTCTAAAAGCCATATTAAATTTAAAAAACAGGACATTTTTATTATATATTTTTTTATTTCACAAATGGCTTTAATTTACATTAAGCCTTTAAACTATTTGAATATATAAAAATCAGCTTAAAACATCTTGAAATCATTTAAGTTGTTCCTTCACATTTCAGTTATACTATGTATTTCAGTTTTCAACAAGTTCTATAAAAAGGGAGTCAGTTACAGTATCCTACATTAAATACTGGATTTCCTCCTTTAAAAATGCAAATTATAATATCCTCTTTTTTTCCACTTTAAAGACTGGCAGAAATTTTTTTTTTCCTGCTGAAGGATATAAAGCTGAATTCCCAAAAGTTATAGCATAAGGCAGACTTTTATAACAATTTTGCTACATTTCAGAAGGATGCTGCAGGGCTTAATTTATTTAGCACTTGAGTGAATGATTCATCCGACTTTGAGAGTATGAGGCGCTCCAAAAAGACTTTTTTAAAAAAATACTAAAAAGTCATTCTCAATACAAAGCCCAAAATATGAAGAAGGGGCACAGTGAGAGTCTTTCAAAACCGAATCCGGCTGCCTCTTATCACTATAGTACGCGGTGGTGATTTCGAGGAACAGAATCTCAAGTCGGACAAGTCAAGAGACAAAGACTTTCACCTAAGAAGAACGCTGCCTTTGCCAAAAATTGCAAAGTAGCAATGCAAATATACATACTAATAATACGAGAGGCAGAGAGCTGCTCGCCTCTGGCAGAATCCCGCCAACGAAGAGCCAGCTCCACAGAGCCGGTGGGAGGATCAGTGTCCACCCAGGGAATCCGCCCGCCCCCCTCGTCCCTGCAAAGGCCACTCCAGGGTCCCGCCTCCCTTGCTCTGCTCTGCCCGGCCCTCCTTCCGGTGCCCGCGGTCCCCGTCCGCAAAGGGCGCGCAGCCCACCGCTCTCCTGCCTCTGTCTGCACCGAGGCGCGGGCGCCCGTTGCCGAAGGCTCAGGCGAGGCGGGTTTTTACCTTCGGGCAGAGCGATGGCGGGAGAAGCCATTGGGGGCGAGGAGGTCGGGCAAGCCGCGGCGAGCTGGAGGGCTTTGGCACCTGCGATCGGCCCGCCGTTTCCCTCTCGGACCCTCTCCTACTTCTCCTACTACTTCCTTAGTTAGCTACCGCTGGACGCTTCTGCGCTTCCCCCTCCTGCAGGGTGAGAGAAACCTTGGAAGGGAGCGGAAGCTGCAGGTAAAGCCCGAACGAGCAGGGGAAGAAGCCTGTGCGGGGCGGGGGAGATACGCTTTCCCCACCCCCCAAAGCCACGGCGGTCTGCCTAAGCGTGTTTTTTCTTCCAAGCTTTTCCGAGCACCATCGGCGACTTCTCAAAAAACGTGTGTGGCCCCTGAAAAATGTCTTGTAGCATCCGTTTTCCGAGGCGAAGGGGAGTATCTTAACTGACTTGTAGATTCTCCACTCGGAGGAGTAAAATTCAGGATTAGAAATAGCCACGGAAAACAATCCCCTCCTTTTGATAAAGTACAGGTAGTTCTCCACTTACAACAATTCACTTAGTGACCGTTCTAAGTTACAACGGCACTGAGAAAAGTGACCTGCGACCATTTCTCACACTTACGACCGATGCAGCATCCCCTTGGTCACGTGATTTACATTCAGATCTTGACAGCTGACTCACTTTTATGATGGTTGTAGTGTCCCAGAGTCATGTGATCCTCTTTTGTGACCTTTGGACAAGGGAAGCTTTACAACTTTTTTACTAGTTTTAAAGAACTGCAGTGATTCACTTAACAAATGTGGTGAGGAAAGTTGTAAAATGGAGCAAAACTCATTTAACAAATTACTCACTTAGCAACATAAAATTTGGGCTCAGTTGTGGTCGTAGGTTGAGGACTACCCGTATATGAAGTGTCGTCATTGTGAATCTTTTAACACTGGATAATGTTATAAAATGTTTTTGCTTAGCCTGCAGCCTGAAATATATCTGTGACTAAGATCTCAGCGATCTGGCTGAGTTGAGTTCTCAATAGGACTGTGTTGTAAGAAATATAAGAACCTTTCAAAAATAAACGTTTTAAGAGCATACTTAGAGTTTGCGATTGAAATACCTGCCTACAGGGCTTGTAATTTTAAATATTTCTGCTTACACTGGTTTTTCTCAAAAGTATTTCATAGCATTCTCACACTGGTTTTCTCAAAACATTGATTTCATATAGATGATTAATAAATCTAAAGATTATTTTGTCAGCATCAAATAAAATTTGTAATACATTGTGCAATCAAATGGTCATTAATACAAGCACGATAATTTGCAGCCATAAGGCCTTTCTGAACTGAAATGCTGTCCTCTCATCCTTGAGTTGGAAAAAGCTCTCCCAGCATAAATTTGCTATCTCCATTGCTAGAAAACTTGCAGATAATATTTTAAGTCACTGCAAACCTCTGGTTTCCTTCAAGTTAAAGGTTGGCACAGTCTTCTAGATATATATCCTGGGGCTATACTTGATACAAGAGAAAATGTCATTTCAGCTAAGGACTTAAGGCTGTCTCAGTTATGGGGGGCCAAAATGAAGACAATGTCATGAGAACATAGCTGAAAAAAGATGTTTCCAGTGAATTATTTATGCCATGATTATGTGCAAGTGGAGAAAGGCCTTACAATTCTTTCCGAAACTTGCTTCTCAAGGTTATCACATTGTGCTAGTAATATTTCCAAGGTCTTGTCTGGTAAAAAAGGTTCAGTCTTTGTTCTCCAACCAGGATTTAAAGTAGGTTGCATGCTGAAACATACCTGGGATAGTGTGATCAAAAGTAAAATGTGATGCATTATTTCATGTAAGTTTACATACTTATTAAGATTAATTCATATCTTAATTTCCCAAGAGACCCAGGTAAAGATTAAAAAAAAAGTTTAGAAGTTAGTATCTGGAAACCTTTTCGGTAATAAAACAATTTTCAATAACTGGAACACTTCCTATTTCCTATTGGGCTGTTACATTATATGCAAAATAATTTTCAAATCAAACCCAAGTTTGATTTGAAGTGCCTAGTAAGCATTAGACACTCAGTCATTTGAAAGATAGACAGTTTTTTTCCCTTCATCCCCACCTCCTATTACACCACGAAGAACATACACACAGCAACAGCAACAACAACTAGGAAAATGAATGAAAACCACACTGTTTAGAGACCTTTATTACCAGATACTATTTCTATGATTCTTTTTCTGCCTATTGCAGTGATAATTAACCTTTTTGGTACCAAGTGCCCAAAGCGCGCACTCACACGCATGCAAATGCACGCACGCGTGCCTGAACCCCCAAAATGCAATGCAAGTGCCCCCCCATGCATGTCCCCTGCCCCGTTTTGGGTTCCAGGTTCGTGCAAGAGGCTTTCCAAGCCCAAAATGGGGCGTGGGGGCCTCACGAAGCCCCCCCCGCCTTGTTTTGGGCCTGGAAAGCCGCCTGCACCTCCCTGTGCATGCGCCCCAACCCCCGCGCATACGCAGCACAGACCTGAACACCAGCTTGCCAGCAGGAGGCACATGCATGCACTGTGGAGCTAGGCTGGGGTGACGGCTGGTGTGCCCCCAGAGAGGGCTCTGCATGCATGCCATAGGTTCACCATCATGAGCCTAGTGTATTTCACCCATATATGCCATATATGGTTTGCAAAAATCCAAGTGACCACATGATGGCACTAAAAAACTGCAGATTTATTTATCTTTTTGCTAGACCTGGATCATGGATATACCCGTATGTACCCTGGGCCACAGTGACTGATGGTACCATCTACTGCTGATAAGAAGCTTTGCATTTTTAAAATGATTCAAAAGGATAATCATTGGCATTGGCTTTGGTGTCCTACACCAGTGCCTACTCAACCATAGCCTGAAGCCAGCACAGCTTTTTGTTATTCGCTAGTAATTATCTGGATTTTTGCAGCTTTGCTGTGATAGCCCTAGTGAAATATTTGTGGAGATGAAATAAGTTTTGAACACAAAACTTAGTTCTCTTGAATAATCTATTGCTCATGTTAGTCTTCTTGGCTGGATGGGATAGGGCTCCTAGGGTTAGCCTTGAGGCATTATCCTGGAGTTGAGATTGTGGCTGGGCTCAGATCCCATCCTGCCAAAACCAAGAGAATTTTCCTCAGCAATAAATGAACAAGTATAATACATTTGACTCATTGATTTAATTGGGTGTTCTTTATCTAATTTTAGGATTTGTACAGAATGAACATTTTAAGTCATATTTATGTAGAAATACTGAAAATTCAAAATGGTTCACATATTTTAAGTATACTATACATACCTACCAAATGTGCACGCTATCCACTTTAGAAACTGTATGCAGTTAACAATAAAAAGAATAAACACTATAGGTTGAGCAAATCCTAATCCCATTTTTTTAAAAAAATCCATACCAATACCATAAATAAAAACATCTGTTTAAAAAATCTTCAAAAAGCACCCTATAACCAGCATGATTTTCCAAACTATCTGCAGAACAATTTGGTCTTAATGAGTATGAGCAAGGCCAGCAGACTGGTCCACACAAATCCCAGCTGCTCCACAAATGTGGAAGCTACTGCCGAGGATTCCCTTCAGGCCACTAATCTCCTCCGTTTCATGATTCTCAGCATCTCTTCTCTGGGTGAAAGCACAGAATGGAAGAATTGATTTCTTGACTGATTGTGAAAAAATTGATCCTGAAGATACAGAGCCAAGTCATGTAGGGCTTTACAGGTTGATATTGCCACTTAAATTTGATCTGGAAACCAACTGATAACCAGTATTGCTACCATAGCATTGAAGCTACACTGGTAAACCTACGCACCCCCATTAGCAACTAAGGTGCTGCATATTGTACTAGTTTCAGTTTTCATTTTCAAAAGCAGTGCAATAGAGTGCATCGTAATAGCCTAATTGCATGCTGAAGATATTATAAATTATTGCTATAAGCATATCTAAGGCAGAAAAGCTTGCAGCTGCCATACCAACTATTCACTTAGGACATTAAGCATAGTATCTCCTTTCTTCAGTATGTAGCTATTTGTCTTGGTTGGTAACACAACCCTAATCCTGATTTCTCCATTAGACATGTCCCAGATGAGTTTTGCATAGGATTGCAACCTAAATGAACTTGTTTGAAAAACATTTATGGAAATTGTTATTACACAATGTAGTCTTCATGAGATAACTGTTTCTGCTCCTGCTTTCTCTATTCAATGAATGCTAAGCCAAAGGAACAAGTTATGGATTTCATTATTATAAATGCCATGTCTTTCATCTTTTTTTTATAACAGCTGCAAATGAAAATGTTTTAATCATTTCTCTATGCACTTTCTAAGTCATGAAGGTGCTCACTGATCTTTATAATTTCCTTTTTTTTAAAAGAGTCATATTTCCTCATTCAATTCATTTACAATGGTAATCTGAATATCTGAGCACTGGAAAACTATAAAACCTCTGAAAGTCAAGAAATCTTTTGAATAGCAGTTCCCACTTTTCACTGTGGTTTGGAGATATCATTTTTCCATCTGCAAAATTATATGATCTGTCCAGGATAGAATTTGTCTTTAGATCAGGGGGCCTCAACCCCTGGTCTGTGGACCGCCACTGGTCCATGGAGTTCCAGAAACCGGGCCCTGCAAACAAGTAAAGCTCCATCCATGGGGTTCAGGCAGCATACGAAACAGCACTCCCTCTGGTCCACAGGAAAACCGCTCTCCATCGAACTGTCCCTTGTGCCCATAAGGTTGGGAGCCACTGCTCTAGATTACTATGGAGCAGCAATCCTATATACCGGTATATTTGCTGGAAAATATGCAGCTCATTGAACCCAGACAGTTTTTCAATATATAGGAAAGGGCTGTGTCTACAGTCTCCAGAATCTTAAAGATGAATTATAAAATGAGAAAAAGTTATAGATCTGATTTAGAATTTTGAAATAAAGTGAGTGAGAAACCTGAATAATATCAACAATTTCCGTAAATATTATGCTTAGATTGTCACTGTATAATGCCAAGCCCTCTGTATCAGCAAATAAAACAGTGCCCTCTAGTGATTCTCAATCCAATAATACTGGCAAATATAGAAAATTGTAGTTTTGGGCTTAAAAATAAAAATGTCTTTTAAGATTTATTGTTTCAGATTAATTTTTAAAAATAAAATTAAGCATTCTTTGTAATTAGCCATTATTAGAAGAGTAAGATATAGTATTCTAAATAGTCTGTCAGGCTCAAAGAAGGACACTTGTGTAGTTCATCAGTAGACAAAAATATCGCTCTGCAGTCCCAATCTGGTGGCACAGAGTCTAAAACAATGGGGGCACTGGAAATCCATTCTTGTAGTAATGGTGGATGTTATTCTATGATGCTGCTCACAGTTTTCTATCAGTTTTTGGTGGCACCTGTCT